AGCTTAGCCCCGACCTGGGCTCAGGGCCATCCGGGCATCGCCTGCGAGTGCGGCCTGGCCTTAAAGGTAAGGGCTTGGGGTCCAGGACCCACCTGCCCCTTGCACAGGTCCCTGTAGGAGAGCTTTGAGGCGCCGCTGCTCTCAGAGTCCTTCCCTGCAGTCCCACGTGGACAAGGCTTTGGGGCCCATTTGAAGGCCAGCTGGGTGCTGGGAAAGGCCCTCAGCTGGTTGCTATCAGGTGCCAACAGCCACAGCCCTGTTGTGGGCTCACACGACCCGGGTACATGTGACTTGCACCATCCCCTCTGGCAGCTGCTCCTGGCAGCCACCACAGACAGGAACTAGAGTGACCAGATGTCCTGATTTTATAGGGACAGTCCCGATTTTTGGGTCTTTTTCTTTCTAGGCTCCTATTACACCCCACCCCCTGTCCCGATTTTTCACATTTGCTCAGAGAGCAGCAGGCCTGTCCATTTCAGTCTCTGGGCCGGCCCAGATGGACCCACTGGGAGGAACCCCACAGAGCCCTGCATGTCTCCAGCACTCTAATGCCAAGGACCTTTACACCCACCAAGGAAACCACACCCTCCCTTGGGGGTGTGGGGAGGAGCATGACCCCGCTGTAACCATGAAGAGAACCCAGGAGTCCCAGTTACTGGCAGCACCAGAGCCCATGACACGCCCCATTCCACGCCTGGCAGGCTGCATCAGAGAACCGCTCTGAGCAGCCCTGGGGATGACGCTGACAATGCTTTTCAGGGTCATGCCTGAGACTCTGGGGTAATATTAATGTAGGGGCTGGATCCCCGGCAATCGAGCTGGAGAGGGGTCCCCCAGAGGCCCCATCCAGGGCGTTGGCCTGTTTAAATTGCCCCATGCGAAGGAACAGCAGCAGCCCATAGAAACAGCTCTCGTGGCGAAAGGCTACTGGCCATTCCTGCCTCTCCTGGCAGGGAAGGCGGCTCGCTGGGCTGGCACACATAGTGGAACTGTGTTCACCTGCCCTGGGCCTGGCTCCCCTCATAGCCTGACAGTGAAGTGCTGCGGGCAGGAATGGTGCCCCATGCCCTCCCGAGGCCTCTCCGCTGCCTTTTAACTTGCGTGAGCCTGAAATAAGCAGCCCGGAGGGCCGTGGGGAAGCCGGGCTTTCTATAAACATGCTGCAGTACTTTAGCAACTGGGGCAGCCCGAGGGATGCAGGCCCCCGAGATCACAGCCTCCCCTTCCCCACTAGCTAGGGCTAATTAACTCCTGGCAACCAGCACCAGGTTTTTCAACACACAGCGCAGCCCACAGGAGCCCTCCCCAGGCAGCGGCTGCGGAGCAGCGGGCAGCCAGGATCCTGGCTGCATGGGGGCCTCCAGGAACCTGGCTGCATGGGGGCCTCCAGGAACCCGGCTGCATGGGGGCCTCCAGGAACCCGCCAGCCCTGCAGGCTGGGGCAGGAGCAGCCGAAGCACCAGGGCAGGGAGAACAGACTGACTCCATTCCTGATGTAACAGAAGGAGCCATGGGTCCTTGTGGGGTCCTGCCCCTAGGCGGTGCGGGGGGGGGGGGGGTCATTCCCATGAAAGCCCCATTGCTCGTCTGCCCACAACCCTGCCCAGCTTTGCGGAGCTGCCAGGGGGAAGGTGGAGACAGACACTGCCGCACAGCACACCCTGCACTGGGGGAGCAGAGTCCTGGGCCTGCCACCTCTCTGACAGTCCAGCCATGCTGGGGCCGGCTGTTCTGGGCAGCGCTGCCCTGCAGTGAACCCTTTACAGGTTCCCCAAGGGTGGCTCCTTCGGGGCTGCTTCCCCCAGCATAGTCCTGGACAGGGGGCCCTCCCTGCTGGTGTGTCACCCTAGGCCGTGGGGGTTCTCAGGAAGACAGGGAGGAGGCAGTGGTCAAACGTTCATTCCCCTCTCCCTTTGTTGGGCGTTTGCGGCAGGGGCCACTCGTCCGGTATTAAACCTCTTGGAGAGGCTTGTCCCCCCGCCAGTGCTGTGGCTTTGCCTGGTATTGGCCGAGGGAGCCACTCTGCCCCTGTGCAGCGTGAGCTTGCACCCGCCCTCAGGCTGGCATGGGCAGGCCTGCACCATGCCAAGACATGCCGGAGCTCCCAGTGTTCTGGGAACGTGCGAGGGGCATCAAATCTCACCCACAAACAAGTTCAAGGACCATCTCTCTGCTGGCGCGTCCCAGGCCCATGCTTGGCTCCAGCCCTGCCTCCTTCCACCCAAACCACCACCTCAGTCTGGCCCCGACATCTCCTCGGGGGTGTCTGGCCACCAGCTCAAGCTCCACCTGGCTAGAGCAGAGCTCCTGATCTGCCTCCAGCCCTCCCTTCTACCTCCTTACTCACACCCAGGGGACGCCGGCAGCATCAGGCCCATCAGCTGGACCTTGCTTTGGCTCCTCACAGCCAGGCTCTGGTTAAGTTTCAGATCCTTTCTGCAGAACATGTCTAAGACACAGCCTTTCCTCTCCTCCACCCAGCTAAACCCCTCGGCCAGGCTCTCAGCAGCTCACATTTCAGTTACTTGCTGGCCTTGGCAAGCACAGTCATGCCCCAGTCATATCCCTTCAGACCGCTGCTGCTCATTCCCCTAGCCCCTCACTTTGAGCAGGTCACCCCCTCGTCCCTCCCCTCTCCTGGCTTCTCCTCCCACTCAGGAGTAGCTCCTCTTAGGCATCTGCACAGCTCTCATTAGCCTTCAAATCCCTCCTTACAACTCCCCTTTGCCGTGACTCCTGCAAAATGTGACCGTGGCAAGCTGAGATCGCTGCCCATCACGCTGACCAACAGTGTCTGTTTCCTTGTGCCCCCATCTCGCTCTCCCTCTGTCATCTCATCTTGTACTTAGATCGGAAGCTCTTTGGGGCAGGGGCACTGTTGTGTGTCTGTACAGTGCCTGGCACCATGCAGTACTGGTTCACAGCTGGGGCTCCTAGGTGTTACCCCAAAATGGATAAACAGCTCAAAACCAAGGTGGCAGCCTCCAGCAGAAGGAGAGATGCATCCACGCTGCAGGTGGGTACAGAGCCCCAAGCGGCTGGCCTGCAGGTTGCTGGCTATCTTCTGTTACAGACTGGTCCAGTCCTCGGGCTGGTCCCCAGTCTGGCAGCGGCAAACGCAGTGGCCGGGTGGCCTCAAGCACCTGGGGCAGGGCAAAGCCCTCAGTGTTTCTAGCACTGGGAGCTTAGGGTACACTCCCAGCCCCAGACTCCTTATCTGAACCCTTCCTCAGGACACGAACACAGCCACCCTCACCCTGAAAGCAACGCCTGCGCGCTCCCCAACCCCCACTCGTTCACATGCTCCCCCAGACCTCTGCTCCAGCTGTGAGCACTCCAGGCTGCTAGTTTAACCCCTTATGGGACAACGCAGGCTGAGCGAGGGAACTGCTGAACCACGTAAGAGCAGCCACCCTGCGTCAGACCAGTGGGCCACCTAGCCCCGTAACCTGTCTTCTGAGAGCAGCCAGAGCTACGTGCTTTAACGGAAACGAATGGAACAGGGCAATTACCATCCCCTGGCTTTACTCCCAGCTTCTGGCAGGCAGAGGCTAGTGACACCCGGAGCATGGGGTTGCGTCCCTGCCCATCCTGGCTAATAGCCATTGATGGACCTCACCTCCACGAGCTCATCTCATTCTTTTTTGAACCCAGATATACTGTTGGGTTCACTCCATCCCCCGGCAATGAGTTCCACAGGCTGCGGGTTGCGTGAAGTACCCCGTACTGTTTGTTTTAAACCTGCTGCCTATTCATTTCACTGGGTGACCCCCTGGTTCCCGTGTTATGTGAAGGGGTAAGTCAGTCCCTAGTCACTTTCTCCACACCAGTCACAGTTGTATAGACCTCTCGTATCCCCCCTTCACTGTCTCTTTTCCAAGCTGACCAGTCCCCGTCTTTCCAATCCTAATGCAGCTGTTCAGAGATGGAGTGACCAGATCTGCACACAGTATTCCAGGCATGGGCAGACCAGGGATTTATGTAGTAGCATCCTGATATTTTCTGTCATTATCTATCGCTTTCCTAGTGGTTCCTCCCTTTCTGTTGGCTTTTCTGATGGCTGTTGCTCATTGAGCAGTTGTTTTCAGAGAACTATCCCCAGCCACCGTGACTTTACACTGAAAGTCCTCGAGTGACGCAGCCTTGGAAGAAAAATAAATCTAGGACACACTCAGAGACACCCCCTACATCTGAGCTCCACCCAGTTGGTGTGCAGCCTGGGCAGAGTCTGTCCTGCCCTTGCGCTCCTGTGAGCCCCTCTTACACGTGGCGGTCAGTCCCCTGGCCCAGAGCAATTCCCCCTCTTAAATAGGCCTGCGCCCGCTCCCTCCCCCTGGCTCTAAGCCGTGTGCTCAACGCTAGGGCAAGCTGGGAAGCTCCCTGGAGCCAGAGCAAGGGGTTCAGAGCCATTTCAAGGCGATGGCCTCCACAGCAGGCTCTCGGTGATGGTCCTTTCACAGGCAGGACAGCTGCCTGGAAGGCTGCATGATAGTCTGGCCCTGGGCAAGTCTGGAACCATCAGTCCCCTAGGGCTGCTGGCTTCAGCCATCTCAGCATTGGAAAGGGACAGAAAATAGCCCTTGCTCCCCACACACCTATCCCGGGGAGCTGTCCTGGTAGGTGGCCCTCGCTGCAGCAGGATCCCTGCCAGAGGCAGATATCCCAGCTGTACCAGGCTCTCGGTGTTTCTCATGCCAAGGGCATTGTGTTCCGGGCCCCGTCTGCTGGCCAGGCCAAGCTCGACTAGGGCTGGCCGTGTGTGCTGAGACCAGGCTTCCTTCCCAGCGTAATGTACAGGCTGCGCGTGCTCCGGCTCTCCTGTCCCTTCGGCACTAAGCCTCTGGCGTAATGACAGCAGTTGTGGGTTCCTCCACCTTGGCCTGCAGCAGCTGGTCCTGGCACCAGGCAGACACAGGGTGAGGCTAGAGGAGGGCGGGGGGGAGAAGAGCAGAGCCTAAGCGCCCAGCAGGGCCCTTCTCCCCCAACAGAGAGCCTGGGCACTTTTCTTAGTAAATTTATTCAGAAAAAGTTCCTGCCTGGAGGGTGGCTCTGGGGTTTATTTACAGCCTCACTGTGTGAACAAAGGCCCCACGCTGTGTCAGAATAGCAGGGGTGGGGGCCATGCCAGGCCCCTCCCCCATGCACCCAGCGATGGGCAAGGCAGGCCCCTTGCCCCTGTCCAGTGGGTCGGCACGTCCCATCCTCCCCCAGGCACCGGTGAGCAGGTGGGCTGCTCATCCCCCACACTGCCTCCAGGCCTGTGAGCGGCTGAGGATCCCCGAGAGCTGGGCTCAGTCTCTGAGGTAAGAGGGTTGTGGCACAGGTGCCAGGGTCCAAGACTTCATTGTTTCTTCCCATGATGGTCGTCCAGCTCATAGAAGAGCACGTAGCCCTCACTAGATGGCACCTGGTTCTCGCTGAGCGGGGACACGCTGCAGGGAGGAGATGGCATTAGCTCCGCACCCGCCTGGCCCGCCAGCGCCCACCCAGCCTCCACACCTGGCTTCCCCCTGGGGCCAGGGCCACGCATTGCAGGCTACGCCAAAGTGCCAGCAAAAGCTCCAATCCCAGCCGCTACCCTGGCAGCACTCCTGCCACACAGAAGCATTCTGCGCCATCACTGCCCAGGGCACGGGTCTGGCTGGCCCCAGGGCAGGGGCTTCTCAGCTTTCAGAGCAGTTCAGAGCGAAGCTGCTCTGCTCTCTCTCTCCATGGTGCACTGGCTTACTGGAGCCAGCCAGCAGGCAAGGGAAAGCCCTGGGGCAGGCCAAGGGGGAAGGGCAGGGCTGAGAGAGGCACAGTCCAGACCACCTGCAGCCTACACTGGGCACAGCCCAGGGCACTGGGCCCTTCCTCACATTTCCCCAGGATTCCAGGTGCATTCTGGGGTCTCAGGCTGGAGAGCCTGCACACAAACAGCGTGCGTTCATTAGGCCTCGGGGGGCCTCTCCTTGCTGCCGTCACCGCAGGCTGCCAGGCTTCCTGAGAGGGCAGCACTGAACCTGCCTGCCCCATTGCCTCCAGCTGGGATAGAGTCACAGGGCGCCAGGGCCAAGGGCACCAGTCCCTTCCAGGAACGCCTGTCACCGGTGCAGGGCCTAGGAGTGCACAATGGGCACAGGACCCCACTGTGCCAGGGCTGGACCCTCCCCCCTGGGGAGCCCTTGCAGCACATCACAGATCCACATTCAGACATGGACCCGCACCTATTGGCCCATTGGCCTCCTCTAGGGGTTCAAGGTCTCACCCTGCACCCAGCCTGGAGGACCCCAGTGCCATGGCTGCAGGAGCGCCCTGCCCCCCACATACCGGGAATCGTTGTAGACCCGCCAGCCGGACTGGTCCCTGCAGAAGGCGGTGTAGTGACCATAGTGCACGCTGCCCGAGTGATTGCACAGGGCGTAGAGGTTATACACCGGGCTCCCTGCAACACACAACGGCTCAGGTCTGGTCACGCAACCCCCAGACATTCCCCCAGCTTCCCCAGAGCCCTCACCACTCCCCCAGGTCCCCAGCGCCCTCACCACTCCCCCAGAGCCTTCTCCATGCAAATCCCGGCACCAGGCAGCACCAGGGGCCCCGCGCGCTGCCCATCTGGAGCAGCCCCAGCCACTCAATCAGTTAACCATTTAAACAAAAAAATTGTTAATAGTTTAAACCGTTAACTTTTAAAACAGTATTTACATCCCTACCCTCCACAGCCTTCTCCACACAGCCACCCCCCTGGCACTCTTACTCCCCAAGAGCCCTTTCCAGGCAGTAAACCCCCTTGCTTGTCCCCCAGAGCCCTTGACATGTAGCTCCAGCATCCTCCCAAACCCCAGATCCCTCTCTGTGCAGTGATCAACCAGCACTTTCCCCCCAAACTCTATCTGTGCAGGTTACAGCGAACCCCCTTGCTTGCCCCCAGAGCCCTTGCCATGGAGGGAGGCCACCCTGACCCACTCCCTGTGTGTGTAGAGCGGTTCCTGGCTGCGTTCCAGCCTCGCTCTAGGTGGAAGGTGAGACATCCCCTTCCCTGGCAATCTGCCTCAGCCTTCTGCAAAGCTAGGCCCAGCTAGCAGAGCTAGCAGGGGTCAAAATGCCATGCCCTTGGGGCAGCCAAGCCAAGCCTGCCCCCTCGGAGCCTGGCTGACACACTGCGCCTCTGCCCCATGCCCGGCTGCACCCATTTGCAGTCCCAGATTCTCAGCTCAGGATGGTGGTTCTGGGAAGAGCGTGGACTGAGCACAGGCCAGGGAGCCAGCATATCTGGTTTTTAACCTTGGCTCCAACAGAGTTCTTCTGCAGCTTTGGGTAAGCCGCAGTCCCCCCGTGCCTCAGTTTCCCCACCCCCAGAAAGGGAAGGAAGATGCTCTACTCCTCTAAGGGGTGCTGTGGGGAGCACTGCCTGTCTGCTCAGCACCACTCCCAGCGAGTGGCAGGAGCCTTGGTCCAGGTCCAACCAGAGTGAGCTGCCAGCAGCAGTGCAGGGAGTCCCTCCCTGGGTGTTTGCAGAGCCCTAAGGAGGATGCTCAGAGCGCAGGGAGCTGGGTCCTCCAGAACCCACCCAGCTCCTAGGAAATGGCGTTGAACTGGCTGGATTTGGCCTGGGCAGCTGAGTCCATCCCCCAGAGCCCCTTGGCAAACACTTCCATTGAACCACCCACACCCTATTCCCTTCAGCCCCTCCCCCTCACCAGGGCCACGCCCACGCCTGCACTCCCTTCAGCCCCTCTCTCCCCCCCCACCAGGGCCCCGCCCGCTCCCTTCAGCCCCTCCCTCCTCCGGGCCCCGCCCGCTCCCTTCAGCCCCTCCCTCCTCCGGGCCCCGCCCGCTCTTTGCTCCTTCCTCCGCCTCCCCCCCTTCAGCCCCTCCCCAGGGCCCTCTCCACTGCACATGCCAATAGCACCAGCCCAGGGTGTGGGCCAGGTGTGGGCTATTCGCTGCAGGCTGTTAGCCTTTCAGCCCTGCTCTGCGCTCCATGGGAGCCACCCTAGGGGCCTGCCAGCCAAGGCGGTTTGGGGCCAACGCCTGCAGCAGCTGGTTGAACAATGTGAGAGTCTCCCTCCCCAAGAACAAGGTCAGGAGCCCGTGTGCTCCCCACCCCAGCCAGGGCCCTGCAAGGCATGGCTTGGAGGGAGAGTGCTGGACATGCTGGGTGGGCTGGTGTCAGGACACCTACCAGCCTTCTCACTGGCAAACTCCTTCAGGTTAAGTCGCTGCAGAGGGAAGTCCACGAAGACAGAGCATTTCTTGATGGAGTATCGGGTGGTGGAGAACCTGTTCAGGTCTGGCCAGGGAAGTGGCCGGTTAAGGGAGGTAACAGGCAAGGGGACCAAGAGGTAGGGGTGGCCTCTGTCCTGATGGGGAAGATGGCTTGTAGCCTGCAGGAACTTGTGCTAGCCCAGCCCCTCAGGATCCGGCACATCCCTCTCTACACTACATGCTGCCAGTGCCAGGGACACACCCGCAGCTCTACCTGGGCCACGGATCCCAGCCAGGCACCGAGCAGACGTCTGCCACACAGGCTCTACCAAGGCTGCCAAACTTTCCTTGTTTGCTGTGTCCTTTACTACGAGCCCCCACCCCTCCAGTGCTGGGACATTGTCAGGAAGCTCAGCCAGACGCAGTCTGCGGAACAGCACGTGCTGGGCCAGGCCAGGCCTCTGGGCCATGCGGCCAGAAATGGCCAGTACTGAATGAGTCGCACCCCAACAGGAAAACCCAAGCTAATCCCAATGTCCCCAGATGCTGAGCAGGGTCAAGCCAGGGCTGAATGGGCCACCCAAAGGCAAAAGGCTTTGCCCCCTTCCCCCCAGAGCACTCCCACACCACAACAGACAGGATACGCAGCACCAGGATGCGGGGGAAGCGCTGAATGGTTAGTTTCTTGGTGCTTCTTGTCCTCTGCCGACACTTGTCACAGACCTGCTCCAAGGCACAGGACAGCCTAGCTCAGAGTGCGCAGGGGAGGAGGCCAAGCTATGCTGACTGCTCCAGCCCCGCTGTGGCTGGCACAGCCGGGCCCAGAGCCTCCTGCCTCAGTTACGCCATTGCCAGCTGCCCTCCCACGTCCCTGCATGAGCTGCAGTCTCCCGTTGCTTTGATGTCAAGGCTCCAAGCAGCCTCCTACCATCCCTTCCTGCTCCCCCCACTTCCCCGTCATGCCCCGCTCTGCCTGGATCTCAGCCTCCAAGCACCCCACCTGGTGCTGCCCAGTTACTGCCCTGCAGAGGTGGTAGTGATGCTGGAGCCCTCTGCAGCCTGACCTGGTCCAGCTCCTAGTGCCCCACCCGATATGGGATGTCCCTCACAGCCCTGTGGGATGGAGCGGTCAAGGCCCCGCCAGCACAGCAGGGCAAGGGCCCATCTCTATGCACTGCATGCGGTGGGGCCTCTGGCCCTTCTCTTACCGGAGCGTTCTCGGAATCCAGCTCCTCCTCCTTGGTGAAAAGGCTGAAGCAGTCGAGGAGAGAGACCTTCCCCCCGGCAAAGCCCTTCTGCAAGGGAAAGCAGGGGAGGGGTGCAGGGGGTCAGAGCAGGGGAGGGAGCTAGCCCTGACAGGGCGGAGCGTGTGGAGTCAGGCTCAGCCCTTGCGTGGAGGGGAGGGACACAGACCAGGCAGGGGGCCGGTATCATAGGCTGGAGGAGGCTGTACCTCCCCAATCAGCCTGGCGTGGCCCCGCCACACTGCCCCCAGACCCCTTCCTGCAGTTCCTTCCTACTCTTCGGTAGCCCACGCTGACTGGGGCTGGGGCATGCCAGCGTGCTGCCAGGACTTGGGGCGGCTGACACTGGGGCTGGGAACACGCTATTTGGCACTCCGGGGCTGGGGCCTGCCTGGCGCGCTGGGGCCGGGGCCAAGCTGCCTGACGCTCAGGGGGCTGGGACTGCTCCGCCCAGGGGGCTGGGGCCCACCCGGAGCTCTGGGTCTGGGGGCACTCAGGCAGCCTGGGGCTGGAGAGGCCACGGTGGGGGTGCTCTGGGCTCCTGCGGGGGGAGAGGAGAAAGGGGAGGGTGAGGGGTGGCGCCTCGGGCAGAAGGGAAGGGGCTGGGAGCTAGTCTCCCCAACGGCTGGTTCACCAGCCACCCATGCATCCAGCTGCCAAAGAGAGGATGAACTAGAACAGAGAAGGCAGAGGGTCTCTCCCCGTGCACCCCAGCCAGGATGGACTGACCCAGCCCACACAGCCCCTACCTTTGGGATGGGGAGGGAGAGGTCACAGAAGACTTCGAAGGTGGTGGAGCGGTAGCCACAGGCCTGACACTTGAGGCAGCTTTTCAGCTGGCCAACGAAGAGATCTGGGAGGGAGACGGGATGGGGTGAGCATGTGTCTCCCCCACCCCACGTCCCCTGCTGAGTGCCCCCTGCCAGCCCAGCTTGGCGTGGGATTGAGCACACCCCTGACAGGAGCCAAGGGGACAAGTGGCTCCTCCCCTCGCTCCAAGGCAGCTATGAGTGCCAGTGCCCAGAGGGCCACCCCAGCACCGCCATACCCAGAGGCCCAAACCATGCCGATGCCAGCCGAGCCACTGGGGGTCAGTGACCGGAGAACTGTCCAGTGCCTCTGTCACCGGTGACTGACAGGGATTATCACATGCCACTCCGTGCCAGACTGGGCTAGAGATGGGAAAGGGGAAGTGTGCGGCTCTCTCCTCCCACAAGGGGCTCGGCTCCTGCCCATGCCACCTGGGAAAGGGGCAACACTCCAGTGTTCACGCCCATCTGGGGCAATTCTACTGGCTTGGTTAGATCCAGCCTTCCCCTGCTCCAGGGAGGGGCAGGATGCTGTGAACGTAGAGCCCCGGCACATGCGGAGCTCAAACCCCATCTTGCACAAGGGGCTGGAGGGAGACACAGTCCTGGCAGAGTCTGCCTGTCCCAGCCAGGGGTCTCCACTGACTCAGCCCCCAGCAGCGGGCCCAGAGGGGGGCATGGAGCCATACCTCCATCAAAGCACCACAGCCATGGGCCCAGAGAGAATGGGGGCGGGCATGGAGCCATACCTCCATCAGGCCCAGAGGGACTAGGCAGAGGGGACAGAGGGGTGGGAGTGGAGCTACACTTCCATCAGAGCCCCCAGCTGTAGGGCCAGAGGGATTGCATGGTGGGAGGGCATGGGCAGCGGGTATAAAAGAGGAAGTTCCCGAGAAGTCGGGGGGCCACCCGCACTCCACCCTGAGGCCTCACTTGGCCTCTTCCCCTGTGGCCTTGCCCACACTGTGCCTCTTCCCGTCCCTGCTCTGCCCCTCCCCCTGCCCAGGTCTCCCCGGCACTGTGCCTCTTCCCCGCCCCCGCAAGGCCTTGCCCTCGCTTCACCTCTTTCCCCAAGTTCCCCTTCCCCCCAGCCTGCCACTCGCGCCTCTCCAGGGGAGGGAGCAGACAGGCGCAAAGGGCAGGCAGAGGGGGAGGAGAGGAGCAAGCAGTAGGGGAGCAGGGGACCTGTGGGGGAAGAGGCCAAGCGGGGGTGGCAGAGTGGGAGTGGGGCCTCGGGGCAGAGAGAGGGTGGAGTGCAGGCGGGGCCTTGGGGCGGAGTGGGAGGCAGGGCCACAGTCCAGGCAGCAGTACCCCTCCCCCACTTCTAGGAAACTTCTGACACTCGCCCCCAGCCTCCCCAAAGGTAAGAGTCACATGCTGCCTACGGGGGAGGGATGGCCATACGCCCATCAGAGCCCCCAGCCCGGGGGCCCGACAGGGAGGTTGTGCTCACCCACTATCTTGCTGTCCTCTCTCTCCAGGTAGCGCTTCCACATCTGGTTGGCTCGTTCGTCATCACTAAGAAAAACCCAAGAGGGAGACAATAGTGGGGGGCTGCTGAGGGAAGAACCCCAAGGGCAGCTCCCTCCACACACAGGCCTGGGCTCTCTGTAGCCCCTTTGCTGAGGCAGCCAGGGGCCGGGTTGTGCTTGCGGGGGCTCTTATCCTGCGGGGGGAGGGGGGGGCTGAGACTCCCCAAACTCCTCCCCCCCATGCCCCGAGCCAGCAGCCCCAAGGCTGAAAGCAGACCATGTGCTGTTGTCAATCTCCTCCCCACCTGCCCCCTTGCTCTCGCCGCAGGCTCCCTCCACCCTGGGCAACAATGCAGCTGCTGGGAGGGGAGCCTGGGAACCCGACACCCCAAATCCATGAGAGCTGCCTGCTGGCCCTGGGGCTGTCACTGCTTCTGTCCCCGGGGCCCAAGCCAAGGTCAGACTAACTAGACCCAGCCAGGACACCAGCCTGGTTCCCGCCCCCTTGAGCCCCACCAGCTCCGGCCGCGCAGCGACGGAGTTCTTGCCAGGGGCAGTCCTACTGCTTTCAGACCCTCAGTGCAGGGCTACAAGGACCAGCTCACAACATGAGCCACATTTTGCTGCGTCCCTGGGAGTCGCAGCCCCCAACCAGCTCAGCCTGCTCACCTCAGGGGGTCCGAGTCCTCTAGCACCAAGGGCCATTTGGTATCAGAGAGGATGCTGGGAGTTTTGCGCCCCTTCCTGTTGATCTCCACATGCAGCCGGTCCATGAAAAACTTCAGGAACTCCTGGGCGTCCTGCTGGCTAGAGACAAGAACGGCCAGTCAGGGCTCAGCCCAACCCCGCCCTTCAAGAGCTTCCACACACTGCGTCCCCTTCCCCAGCCCCAACCCACTCCACACACTGCGTTCCCAGTCCCCCGCACATTGCGTCCCCTTCCCCAGCTCTAGCCTCCAGCACCCTCCATACACTGGGTCCCCTCCCCCAGTCCCCAACACCCTCCACACACTGCATCCCCTTCCCCAGCCCTACCCCCCAGCGCCCTCCACTTTCCCCTCTCCCAGCCCCAGCCCTGCCCCACAGCACCCTCCACATACTGGGTCTCCTCCCACAGCCCCGCCTCCCAACACCCTCCACACACTGCATCCCCTTCCCCAGCCCCAGCCCCCTTCACACACTGCGTTCCCAGCCCCAGCATCCTGCACACATTGCGTCCCTTTCCCCAGCCCTAGCCTCCAGCACCCTCCATACACCGGGTCCCCTCCCCCAGCCCTGACCCCCAACACCCTTCACACACTGCGTCCCCTCCCCCAGCCCCACCTCCCAAAACCCTCCACACACTGCATCTCCTTCCCCAGCCCCCTCCACATACTGCGTTCCCAGCCCCAGCCCGCTCCACGCACTGGGGCCCCAGCCCTGCCCCCCAACACCCTCCACACACTGCATCCCCTTCCCCAGCCCTGCACCCTCTCCACACACTCGATCCCCTTCCCCAGCCCTACCCCCAAGCACCCTCCACTTTCCCCTCTCCCAGCCCCAGCCCTGCCCCACAGCACCCTCCACACGCTGGGTATCCTCCCACAGCCCCGTTCCCCAGGCCTCCCCGCACACTGGGTCTCCTCCCACAGCCCCGCCTCCCAACACCCTCCACACACTGAGTCCCCTTCCCCAGCCCTGACCCCCAGCCTTCACACACTGCGTCCCCAGCCCCAGCCCTAGCCTCCAGCCCCCTCCACACACCGGGTCCCCTTCCCCAGCCCTGCCCCCCAACACCCTCCACACACTGCATCCCCAGCCCCCTCCACACACTGGGTCCCCAGCCCTGCCCCCCAACACCCTGCACACACTGCGTCCCCTTCCCCAGCCCGCGCACTCTCCACACACTGGGTCCCCTTCCCCAGTCCTGCTCCCCAGGCCCCTCTACACAATGAGTCCCTCCCCTGGCTTCAGTTCTCCCACCCAGGACTGTCCACATTCAGGGTCCCCTCCCCTGGCCCCACAGCTCTCCATGCTCAAGGTTCATCAGCAGTGGGGCTTTCCTAGCAGCTCTGACCCCAGCCCTTCTGCTGTCGGCCCCCCCTTACTCAGCACATCACCCTGCCAGGGCTCTGGGAAAGCCCCACTGTGCTCTGCACAAACCTGAGATCGCCCTGGCTGGACCGGTTCCTCTAAGATGCACACTATGCTGGCGCTAAACTCTGCCCAGAGGTGACTGCATCCCATGGTGCACTGGGACAGCCCCTGCCCATGGCTGTGAGAGAAGAGGTCCAGGGCCCACAGGGAGCCCTCTCACCTGTAGCCTGTGAAGGACGGGACGTATTTCTGAAAGACAGCTTTGAACCGCCCAGGGTCCACAGCTTCAGTGGAGTCTGGGTGCCACAGTGAACTGATGACATCTGCAAATGCTGAGGGGAGACAAGCCACCATCCCACGTTACCCCACCTGTACCACCCCATAGCCAGCTCCCTCACCCCAGCTGGCATGACAGCCATGGGGCAGGGGAGCAGGATTCCCTGCCTCTGGGGAGGGGCCAATCTCCAACTGGACCCTGCTGGAGCAGCCCAGGGGGGAGAGGCAGGAAATACCCCCAGACCCACAGGGTATTGCTGCCCCCAAACCGCTGCGCATGGCACAGACTGGGGGACAGGGAGGAGTGAAGGAACAGCTAGATGGGGTCAAAGGGAGCGTAGGACAGTGGGCGGAGCCCAGGAGGAGTCAGGATGCCTGGATCCTATTCCTGACTCTGCCACCAAGATCTCTCCCGCAACCTTAGCGCTGGCCCTCCGGCCTTGTCCTTGCCCTGCGGTGCCCAAGGTGAGACGGACATGCTCAGCGCTCCAGAGCCTGGAGATGGGCCCATCCTCCATACACCTGTGTCCTGCCCGCTCCCACGCCAGGCACAGTGTCAGCACTGTCATGGCAGGGTATTCGGCCCTGCTCTTTATGTAACAGACTTTCCAACTGGCCTCACTTGGGCAGGGTGCTTACATAACCCTGGTCGCTGGGGCGGGGATTAGCTCCCATGGCAGCCGGACCCAGGCAGTTCCTGGGCAGCGAGCCAGCTGTGTGAGCGCAGGGCTGGGGAGCAGCAGGAAGGCAGCCGGCTGGCTCACCTACCTTCCGTGAGCTCCTGCTGGGCCCGCGAGGTGCTGGGCTGCTCCTGGAGGAACTCCTTGCGCAGGCAGTAGTCGCGCAGAGGCTTGGTGCTGCTCAGGCACTGGAGCACAGCGTTCATGAAGCACTGCAGGGCACAGGCAGGCAGTCACGGTGGGCCCCATGCCCCAGGTGCTACCTCCCCCGGCCCTCTGCATGCAGCTGGGATTGGCCCGCACAGGAGGGGCTGTAGTTCCTACTGGACAGGAGCCATGGAGAGTGGCAAGCCCAGAGTGCAGGCTCGTGGGCACCGTTACCCCCCGTTACCCCGCTCAGTCAGCTCACCCTGCCAAGCTCCGCTCTAAGCATCCCCCTCCTAACAAGGCCATCCCAACAGCCACACATCTCTTGCCACTGTGCAGAGACCGGGCTGGCAGCAGATGTAGCAGGGACACTGATGGGCTCCCAAAGGAGGAGGCCACCCACAGTGAAGCAGATCGGTGATGGGGAGGAGGGTCCCTCGAGATCAACCTACCCACCAGGAAGACGGGGTCACTGGCCACGTGCAGCTGCTCAACCACCTCCCAAGCTAGACTCAAGCTGCTGCCGCTCAATGCTGCACGAGGGCTTCTTGGAGCCTCTCAGACAACACAGGCAGAACTCAGCTCAGCCAAACCCCTGCAACCTGGGCTAAAGGACAATCTCCATCAGCAGCACAAGGCCTCTGACACGCAGCAGTGACACTGTGCTAGACACAGCAGGGTTCGGGCAGAGGGCCCAGTGCAGCCTGGGATAGTTTAGTGCCCTCCAGCGCTGGGGCTGCAGGGAACAGCCCAGAGGCAACTAGCCCAGGGGGTGCAAGGGGAACCACAGCTGGGTGGGAAAGGTGGCTACAGGTGAGTCAGCTCCACTCACCGCACAACTGCTGGCTCCTCCATGCAACACAGGCATGGCCCTTTGATTGGACTCAACGGGGTAGTTGTATTGGCATGTGCAGGCTCCAGCCCACCACACTGCTGGCGGTAACAGGCGCAGCCCCTGACCACCGCCCCCATCCGCCTGTCCCAGCCCAAGGGCTCTGGGAGCCCATCTGCACTGCTGGGGAAAGCTGCTGCACTCCCAATCCCACAAGGATTAAAGCAGGCAGGCAGGCGCTGGCTCAGAGATGGTGGCAGTGGGAGAACAGTCCCTGGTGAGCAGTATTCCAAGGGCGCTCTTCAGGGAAGGGACAGACCCGGGAACACCGAGAAAGGGAGACGACTGGGGGAGGTTACATATACCATGATGACATTAGACTCATGTGAGAAACTACAGCATTCAGCAATCTCAGATCTCCATGGCAGGGCACCCCCACGGGAAGGGGCACCCTCACATGGCACATCGGGGAATCATGGCCGCAGTCACGTAGAATCTAGGCAGCCCAGGTCTCCATTCTCTGCGCTTTGCATCACTGACACGAGTGCAAAGCAGGTGTGAAACACCACGGTGCTGCGGTCATCTTGCCCTGGTGAGAACACTGCCACGAGGTCTGCACAGGGAGAATCAGGCCGGACCGGGGGGGTGCAATGCGGGGAGGACGTGCTACCTTGAGTCCTCCCAATTCCAGCTCCTCTGCATGTCAGACACTTTCCCAAGCACCAACTGCTATTTTTGACACCATCAAAACACAGGCTATGGGCTTTTCAGAAAGCCCTCTACAGAGGACAGCCTGCCCCGCCAGTATGTGTGTGTGTGTGTGGGGGGGGGGGGGGGTTCCCGCTGCCCAGGGCTCCCCAGCACCAAACACCAGGTGCTTACCGTGTTGCCAAGATTGCGGAGTCCGATGTGCCCAGAGCCCAGGAGGAGGGTGTGGTGTGTCTGAGAAGACGAGAGAGAGAGAGACAGGATGAACACCTGGGAGAGGGACCCTGAAGTAGCTAATTCTAGCATGAGCAGGAAGAGTCTGTGCCAGGAGGATGGCCACACACAGCCAACGCATTCCCTCTACACACACATGCGCACACAGCCAGCTCATGGCCCCCAGAGGCTGGAAGTGTCCCACTGCCTACAGCCAGCAGAAGGAAGAGCATGGTGCATTACCTCACTGGTCATCAGCAGCAGCCCCATCACCGCCGTGTGTACCACCGACTCCGAGATATCCGCCCCCTTGCCCTGCAGCTCTCGTTTGGTGGCCAATGTGCGGTGCAGCTTTCGAGGCAGCTCCACCAGGGTAGCTCCCTGCAGACCTGGCATGGCTCCTGCCGCACGGAGGAGCGGGCAGCTGGAGTGCTGAGCTTGCCCTACAGCACCAACTGAAGGGACCACAGGGCCCTCCCTCTGCCTCTATAAACCATCAGCTCATTAGCTGATCCGATTTCCCCTGGCTATTCCGGGCCCTGCTTGAGGCTCATCTCTGTGGGATTAATTAGCAAGGAGAGCTACTTTGGGGACAATGGGTGTTTGAAGAACCATGGAACAGAGAAGGAAAATACAACCAAACACTCACTGACCATGCAGCAGGCACAGCGCACTCCTAGAGGGGATGGGGGTGGGGAAGAAACCAGCTACTCTGGGCCAATCTGTCTCAGGGCTGCCATAATCCACTGGATTGCTAGGTGGGAACATGCCAAAGTTCTGCACAGCCAGCTAGCCCTGTATGGGGTGGCAGGCCATGCCTGGTGGTCAGCCCCATGCCTGTGCTCAGACAGATTACATAAAAGAGATTTCCTAAAAGGAACAGATTACACTTGTGGTGCCCGGTGGACACAGCTGGGAGGGTCTCTTGCTAGGAAAAAGGAGCTGCAGGCAGGGACTGAGGGGAAGGTCTGGGTCAGGCCACTGGGGAATCCCAAAGCCTGTAGATCAAGATTTGAGTGAGCATTTGGACAGTTTGGGACACTTTGATCACCTTGTACAGAGCCTTGGACATCAGACCTGCTGTAGCCAGAGAGATTGAGGGGCCTTCGCCATCTATGACCTCTGTGGTTTTGCACATCACTCACCACCACCCCCACCCCACCCCCTGCACACATCCCTGAGTCTCCTGAATGAGCAATCCAACAATTCTTGGGGCATCTGTTAACTTCACATGCAATACCACTAGCTAGATGGCTTCACTGAAATCATAAGCTGGTTCTCTGCCCCTCCCACCCAGAGGGCTCCCCAGCGGATGGAGTGCTAGATGCAGTTCCTGAAGCAGCCAAAGTCGCTGCTGCATGTCAAGTCAGGACCCTCAGGGATATCACCCATGCTGGGACTGCTTGCTTGCTGGCATGCCGTGCTCCTGCTCAGCAGAGCCAGAGACACCCCCCCCACCAGACTTTCTGAAGGCCCGGTGACTAAATTCTGATGCAGTCCAGTCCCCACAGGCCTGCATGTGCATGAGGGTAGGTAGGATGCTGAAAACATGGTATGGTGGAAGGATGCTCCTGGGAGAAGCATGGCCAGACAAGGGACTTGAAAAATCACTCCACCTCCTAGTCCCAGCTGCCAACCTTTCTGAGGCACATCACCCTCCCGCCACCCCAGTGCACCCAGCTATTCTGCCTCGTGGCAGCATCGTTCTGACAGCAGCAACTCTGTCTCTCGTTATGTAGGAGGCAGAGTGCTCAGCTGGATGGGCAGACCTGCGGGAGTCCATGGTGGTGCTGGCTTTTGACTTGCCTGCTCAGCAGGTTGAAGCCGGAATCACAGCGACCACAAGCTCATTTTCCCTGGATCCCACCCACAGGTGCTGGGTTCTCATGGAACGAGGAGGCTGGGGGCAGCTTGGGGCAAAACCACAGAGCACCAGGGCTCAGGGGGAGCCTTCGGCCTAGACTCCTCCATGGAAAGTAAGGGCTTGGACAAGATGGGAGAAAGCCCCCCTCCCCCTTGAGGAAGCCAAAGATTGCAGCCCCCAGACATCAGGCCAGGCACTGCCACTCTCTAGCAGTCAGCAGTAATGAGGCTCATCCGCCCCAGCAGGCCTGGGAGCAGAGCACGGGGAGGACGGCAACGCGGAGTGCTACCCGCCACACTCAGTAGATGTCAAACAGCAATTACAACAGACACCTTCTTGTCGGGCCTGCTCGGAGCTGGAGACGGTACCTTCCCCTGGGGTGGGCTCCCAGCCGCTGGGACATCCTGAGGGTGCAGGTACTCGGAGACCTGAGGATCGGGGGTGTGAGTCCTGGTGCAGCTCTCAGTGCGGACGGAGAGCAGCGCGCCCGCAGGCCTCCCATCCAGCCCAGGAGACACACTGACCCTCCTGAGCGAGGAGCTCCGCTGGAGAGCCAAGGGCCCCAGGCCCAGCTTTTGGCTGCACGGCGGGCTGCGGTCCCGGAGCACCAAGCGGCTGAGCACCATGCTCAACTCCTCCCCTTCGCCCCCTGCCTGGCTCAGGTCCCCAATGCTGATGGACTTGGAGCGGGCGAGATTGTTCCTCCTGCGCTCAGAATCTCGTTCCACCAGCAACACTCCTGATGGCATGGAGAAGGAGGCGCTGCCTGACATGGTGCCAGGCTGTGGGGACTTGGGCACCTTGACCGCATGGTCTGCCTTCACTGGCCCTCGCCGGGGCACTGAGCCCCGCAGCTGGTCGCTGCGCTTCGAAGCACGGCCCCTTTCGAGCTCCTGCTTCTTCCCCCGATCGTCCAGTGGGCTGGGCCGGGGAGGCAGCGGGCGAAGCTTGGGAGCCATGGAGAGCCCATTGGCCAGTGCAGGGGAGACTGAGGCATGGCGCTCCTGGCTCACAGCCCGGTGTCCGTTCAGGAGCTTGGCGGTGGCCTTGGGCTGCGATGTGATGACCTGCTCTCTAGCCCGGCTGACCCGGTGTTCAGAGGCCTGGGGCATCGTAGAGACAATGGAGAGGAGAACCCTGGGGAGAAAGGGAGAAAGACGAGTCAGCACAGCAGGTCAAAGCCAGTGTCAGTCAAATGGAGCTCAGCTACTGGGAGGCAGGACTCCAGGCTGCCAATGCCAGCTCCAGGAGGGCAGTGTGGTCCAGTGGGTTCAACAAGGGAATGGGAGACCAGGCTCCTGGATTTCAGCGCCGACTCCCTGTGTAGCCTGGGTAGATTCTCTGTAATTCGAAGCTGGATAGCTACATTATGGGAAGCGGAAACCTTCCTCTGCAGCATCAGGTGCTGGCCATGGCTGAGGCACAGATGCTGGGCTGCAAGGACCGGGGCTCCGAGCCAGCACAACTGGACGTACCTCTCACAAGCTGCAAGCGTCTCTTCCCCACCAGCACCAAGCTCACACCCCTCCACGGTGGCTGTCCAGGTGGAGATTCCCATTGGCTGAGGCCCTAGAACACAAGACAGGATGATCCAGGCACAGGCTCCCATGGCTGTTTCATCCAAGACTTCTGGCCATGAGAATCTCTGGGAAATCCTCTGAAAAGTAGCTGGGCAACAGAGCCCAGCCCAGAGCAGCTCAAACTGGCCCGTGTCACAAGGGAAAGGGAGGAAGGGCCTGCAGTGAGACAGGCCCCATCGGACTCCACCCAACAGAGTAGGATACTGCACACCTGGGCGGGAATGGTAGGGTTTCCTTAGGAGGGCAACAGGTCGTGCTGCTAGTGAAGAGAGAAAGCTGGGCACAGGCTTTCCCTATCCCACAATGCACCAGCACCTTCACACAGCAGGGCCAGGAGTGACTGCGCCTAGCTAGAGGCAGCATCACGCCATCTACCCCCCTTTCCGCTCTGCTTCAAGGACAGTCTCCTGAGACGGCCTTTTACTCCCCTTTCAGCAGGTTTTCAAGGGAGACAGTTAATGGGCTCTGGTGCCTTCCAGCCAAGTCCACCAAGCTCCAGGCAGGGGTAACTAAGGGTATGTCAATGCTGCAATTAAAACCCCCAGCCAGTCTGAGCCAGCTGACTCAGGCTATGGGGCTATTTAATTGCAGTGTAGATGTTCAGGCTCGGACTGGAGCCCTGGCTCTAGCACCCTGCAAGGTGAGAGAGACCCAAAGCTGAGGCTGCAGCCCAAGCCCAAACATCTACACTGCAGTTAACAAGCTCTTAGCCCAAGCCTTGTGAGCTCGAGTCAGCTGCACAGGCCAGCCACGAGTGTCTAATCACAGTGCCAACATACGCTCCGAGGCCTTGCCCGCTAGCTGCAGCTAGGTCAGAGATGGGCAGGTATCAAGTGGCTTATGTGGCTAGGGTGACCAGATATCAAGTGTGAAAAATCAGGACGGGGTGGGGGGGTAATAGGAGCCCATATAAAAAAAAGCCCCAAATATCAGGACTGTCCCTATAAAATCAGGACATCTGGTCACACTAGATGTGGCCCTCAGGCCAAAAAGTTTGCCCACCCCTGAGCTAGGTGGTCTGTGCAGAAGGAGTCAGTGAGTCTGTGCTTCCTGCAATTACTGAGCAGGAACCTGCACCACTAGGGGGCTCAATGGGTGCCTTGTGTCAGCCTGACAGAGAGGCCAAGGGCTGAATGGGTCCTGGTAACCAGACTCCTCTCCCACAGGGGTATCTCCATGGCTTGGCTAAGGCACATTAGCAGTCCCAGTTTGCTCTCCGGCCGCCTGGTTCCCAGGCTCTCATTCAGACTTTTCCCCACACAGTACTGCTGTCAAACCCCTTCACCTCTCACTCAGCTGAGCTGAGGGATTTGGGTGAGTGAGGCACTGAACTACAGAGGTGATTAGCGTGAGTCACTAGTCAGGACATGGGTTGCCAGTTACTCCCACCAACCGCCTCTGGCAGGGGCTGGGCTTTGCCAATGCAGAGCTCAAAACCAGAAGCAGTGCTTGTATCTGGCAAAGAAACTTACTGATTCCCGCACTCCCACGCTCTAGAACAGGAGCACTGGCCCATTCCTGCCTTCTGGCATCCAGCACAGAACAGTAGAGGGCACAGACCACACATAATGAAGCCAGCGAACACTTGGTATATAGGATCGAAGACAGCTAGAAGCCTTAATTAGGGTCCATTGGCACAATCCTGTACACCAGTGGTCCCCAACCTTTCTTGTGGGAATAGCATATTGCTATTCCCAGAAAACTGTGGCGGGCGAAAAGCGGCAGCGGGAAGAAGCGTTGCCGCCAAAATGCGGTGGCGGGGTGTCTGGCGGGCGTACAAAAATGCCCCGGCGGGCACTGCATTGGGGACCCCTGCTGTACACTGTCATTAACTGGCTAATGTGTATGCATAATGTTGCCATCTTCTGGATGGAATCAGACCTACTCAGCTGTGTGCCATAAGCCTGATACTGCTAAAAGCTGATCGAGATTCCCTTTTAACTCAAATAACAGAGGTCTATGCTTTTGGAGCAGGAGGATTAGTGTTTTTTCTATCCCTGATGTCATCATGAAATTCCTACCGGTCCAGCATAATGGCAATTGGAAAGCCACAAATGTGTCACAATAGCAAACCCCGCAATACACATTGAGATAAGAGGGGCATGATCCATTTGCAATTTGCTTCAGGAAAACCAGCACAGGCCCCTGCTACTGCTCAATGGCCTCAAGACAGAGCATATGGTATTTCAGAAAGGGAAAGCACAAGGGAGTGCCATGAACTGGGACACCAGGCCAGGGCTTCAGAGCAGCTGGCCAGTCAAAGCCAAAGTGACACTTCCCTTTGCAAGTAGGATGGCGAAGTGTGCAGATTCTGCCCATCCGAGCTTGGCATTGGTCAAGTTGCCAGGAGCCCAAGGGCTGCCCAAAATTTGTATAAAATGGAGAAGGCTGCATCTGCCTTCCATCTTATACCTAGAGGTGCAACCCACTGCAACTACAGATCCCAGCATGCAGTGCTCCCTCTCAAACTAAGCGGCCATGCTGCGTGGCTCGCTGGGACCAGTAGTCTCTTCAGGCCGCACTTCCACAGACAGCGCCAGACAGCAAAGACATTTAACTCCTGAGGCAATCTCTGTACGGATCACTCAAATAAAGAGAATTTATTTTCAAAACTTTCTGTGATGTTCCCCCACCAGCCACACTCACCTCCCTCACTCCTCATCCTACCCAGTTCACACACCCCTTGCTGCCAGCCAGCCTGCCCCTTACCTGGAGGGAGAGAGCCCAGGGACAGGGGGCAGGGCAGTGTCCTTGTGCAGAGCCCAGCTACCAATCATTCCAGCCTTCCCTCACCCTGCCCCCCAAACCACATCTACGCTATGTGACCTCCAGCTCCCTAGAGACCCCCTACAGCCCCAGCCCCCATACACCATTCCATAACCCTATGCAGAGGCATCTCTCATCATCCCTCAGCCCCTAGAGAGAGAGAGTAATCACCCTATCTACAGCCCCCATATACACATTACACCCCCATGTGGAGGCCCCAACCCCTATAGAGTAACTCCCTATATACAGCCTCCCATACATACATTATCCCCTATATGCAGGCCCCAACCCCCATAGACTAACCCCCACATATACATTGCACCCTATAGGCAAGCCCCAACCCCAAGAGAGTTACCCCTATATACAGCCCCCCTATATACCTCACCCCCATCCCTTCAGCCCGAGGAAACCCCCCTAACCCCACATACCATGGAGGGTGCCCACCCCCTCCGAGGCCCTGGGGGGTGGGTCAGGCCCTACCTCCTGCAGGACGCCATAGCAACAACTCCCGCACCAGAAGCCGCCATCTTTGTTTCTGTCCCCACTGCCCGGCTAAGAGCTACTTCGGTCGGCTCACGGCGCATGCGCCGCCATCCGCAGCCTTCTGCTTCTAGGCCTAGTCTGCGCGTGCGTCAGCGTCCTGCTCTAGTGACACATGCCCGTCGCCATGGAGGCAGAGCGGCGTCCTTCCCCCTCCTAAAGGGGCGGCAGCACCGGCAGGGAAAGTTATCGTAGGGTCGCCGAGGCTCCGGCGGCTGCTGTCCAAGGGGACTTTGGCACCAGATTATCGTCAAAAGCACCCCCCTAGGCTGAGACATACGAGGGGAGCACCTGTGCTGGGGGGCACGGGATATACCACATCCCCTGGGGGGACCCCTGTGCTGGGGGGGGGAACGGGATATACCACATCCCCTGGGCCTGGGGGGACCCCTGTGCTGGGGGGGAACGGGACATACCACATCCCCTGGGGGGACCCCTGTGCTGGGGGGGGGGGGGAACGGGATATACCACATCCCCTGGGCCTGGGGGGACCCCTGTGCTGTGGGGGGAATGGGACATACCACATCCCCTGGGGGGGACCCCTGTGCTGCAGGGGGGAGGGTATGTGACATACCACATCCCGTGGGGGGACCCCTATGCTGCGGGTGGGGGGATATGGGACATACCACATCCCCTGGGGGGACCCCCGTGCTGTGGGGGGGGGATATGGGACATACCACATCCCCTGGGGGGGACTCCTGTGCTGCGTGGGGGAGGGTATGGGACATACCACATCCCCTGGGGGGGACCCCTGTGCTGCGGGGGGGGAAGGGTATGTGACATACCACATCCCCTGGGGGGACCCCTGTGCTGCGGGGGGGAGGGTATGGGACATACCACATCCCCTGGGGGGACCCCTGTGCTGCGGGGGGTGGTATGGGACATACCACATCCCGTGGGGGCCCCTGTGCTGGGGGGTACGGGACACACCGTGTCTATGCTACCAGGGTGGGGAGATGCAGCATTAGATGTGTAAATAAAAGGCATAAGACCCAACTGTGGGCCACCCTGCTCACTGAGGACGTGTCTCTTGGCATACCTGAGGGTACACTAGCATGTCCCATACCCCTTCCCAAATGCAGGGGTCCCCAGGGATACTGCAGGGAAATACTACACTAAACTTGTGCATAGCTGAGATCCGCTCATGGCTGAAGAAGAGCTGGCTGAAGCTGAATTTGAGCAGGAGAGAGGTGATGCTGGTGCAGAGGACAGTACTTTGCAGAGTTTGCAGCCACAGTGCAGTCTCCTTCAACTGAAGGGTCACATCCGTAATTGGCTAATTCCATTTGTCAGTTTAGGAGTACTCTTGGGTTCCTTGGTGATGCTGAGCGCTCACATAGCAACTGCCCAAGTAAAACTTTCCACCATCTCTGGTTGGCTGGGAGACTCCGTCCCACCTTGGCAGATGATGACCTGGCCTAAATTATTCATGCCTTCATCACCTCTCAGCTGGATGGCAGCCATGTGGTAGGCTGGGCATGAAGGCTTGGCACTCAGGAAACTCCAACTGGTACAGAACATTGCAGCCACGTCTCTTCAGCGACACAGACTGCCACAAGCACATCAGATCTGTCCTCTGCTCCCTATGCCGGCTGCCACAGAATATCAGACCAAGTTAGAGTTTGCAGTCTTTATCTTCAAAGATCTCCATGCCCTGGGCCCAGGATACTTAAAGACTGTTTAGAGCTCCAGGACAAAGACCATGGTCAACAACTTCACTCCTCCGGCTCAGTGGAAATCTCAACTATAAGAGTAAAGCCTGTCTGGGCAGGAGACAGAACTTTCTCCAGGGGTGGTCCAAGACTGTGAATGAATTCCCCCGAGAACTAAGAACTGTCACAAACCATGTCACTTTCCATTCCAAGTGCAAGGCATATTTCTTTGCCCCACCTTCTCTAACAGAAACACATGGCAACAGGTATAGTTATAAATGGTAATAGTAGTAGCCATCAAATAACATTTAAAAGAAAGCCTATCAAAACAAGACTCCTCTGCACATGCTTCTTCTGGGCAGAGAAGGAAAGACCAAGCAACAGGTCACACATGTCAGTTACGGTGCTTACTGCATGACTGGCAGATGCTCAGCTAGTACAGTGATGAATGAAGTATAAAATCCTATAGAGAAGAGAACTTCTGGTGCTGATTGTGAAGAAGTTGGGGATTTTTGTAGAGTTTTACATGAATAGTGTGTGCACTCCTCAGTTTCCCTGTGTGCTGCACGTTTAACAAGGTGGTGGGAGAGGGTTTGTTGTTGCACAGGACCAGGTGTGACCTCACCTAGCAGCCTGGACCCCCAGAGAACAGCCTGGAGATGGGGAACCTTAACAACCGGTGACCTGGTGACTAAGAGGCCCACCCCAGCTTTGCAGTCAGCTGGTTCTGGCCAGTGGGATGACAATGGGCTGAGGAGAGAGGACCCCAGCGACCTGACCAACCAGTTCCAACCAGAGGGGAACAAAAGACTGAAGAGAGAGGGCCCCAGCAACCTGTTTACCTGGGACAGAGGACAAAGGACAGGGGAGGAGCTGTTGGGGCCGATGATATCGGATGCCGAGCTGGAAAGAGCAGGGTCTCTGGACTGGAGAGAGACAGCAGGCAGAGCCCACCTGTATGCGGGAGAGAGTTAGATGTGCTGTGCTGAGGGAGGCCAGGCCTGAGGGCCCTGAGAGTTTCCTATGCTGGGTTCAGACATTCAATAAACACTCCTGTTTTATGCTGGCTGAGAGTTGCTCTGATCTAGAGATCAGGGTTGCATTATTCCCTCTGGAAGTGGAGGCCCCAGGGATCCAGCGCGAGTGGACTCCCTGAGGGGACCCACCGCGAGAGACAGGTGTGCTAAGGCTCAGAGAGGTGTGGTTCCAGGAGGTGGAGGGGCTTAACCCCCAAGAGACAGTGGGCCACCGAGAAGGGCTGTCGAACGGAAGGGGATTCTCCCCAGGGACCGCACCCAGCCAAGAGTGGGCAGGACCTGTGAGTCTGTGACATTGATCAATGGATATTTATAGTTTCAACAAACACCTGTTTGATATATCTGTGTGTTATAATTCTGAAGAGCTCATGCTGCTGGCCCCACACACACGTCGATATCCCTTTGTACCACACTGAAACAGCAGGATATGGGGGCTGTGAAATGGGTGAGAAGTCTTTCCCCCACTCTGCAAACACTGCATTGCAGACAGTTATCCCCCTTATTGTGAGATCTTAACACTATCAGCACTGTCTGTAACAAGGAGGAGGCGGGTGTGCTGTGGGAAGGGGGGAGGTATTGGGAGAGAGGAGGTGATCCATAATACAGCCTTGCTAGCAGTAATTCAGAATGGATTTAGCACTTTTTGTCTGTGTTTTATACACAAAACTTCAGTGGCTGGAAGCTGAAGCTAGACAAATCCAGATGGAAATAAGGCATGCATTTTTCACAGTTTTCAGAGTAACAGCCGTGTTAGTCTGTATTCGCAAAAAGAAAAGGAGTACTTGTGGCACCTTAGAGACTAACCAATTTATTTGAGCATGAGCTTTCGTGAGCTACAGCTCACTTAACAGTGTGAGTAATTAACCGTTGGAACAGCGTACCAAGAGTTGTGGTGGATTCTCCATCACTGGCCATTTTAAAATGAAGATTGGATTTTTAAAAAAACACGTGCTCTAGTTCAAAATACATTATTTTGGAGGAGTTCTCTGGGCTGGGTGATCCAGGAGGGCAGACTAGATGATCGCAGTGGTCCCTTCTGGCCTTGGAATCTATAAATCCATGAAAACAGGTCTGTATGTTACCATGGAGAACTGCTGCTTGGTGATCCCAGATACAGCTGAAGATGCCAGAGAGAAAGCAACTGCTTCTTCAAGGAACTTTTCTTAGGAGTTTGGGCCAGTTAAATAAACTAATAATCTGCAATTCTCTTTCCCATTTGTTAGTTTGCAACCACAACTGGAAACCTGTTTGTGTATTTTCAGGATGTTTGGGTGCGTGACGTAGCTATGCAATAAAACAATGGCTCTTTTGAATGTATCTATGCTTCAAGTGGCTTATCTGTGTAATAGGATCCATGTTCAGGGAAGTTCTCTTCCTGCGTTCTGCTGGTGCTGGAGGTCAGACTAGATGATCAATTAACAATGGTCCCTTCTGGACTTAAGCTATGAATCTCAGTTACTTTGAATATCTGTTTAGCTGTTTTGGGAAGGGAGAAGAATGGGGTACGGCAGTAGCTCTCAACTTTTCCTGATTACTGTCCCCCTTTCAGGAGTCTGATTTGTCTTGCATATCCCCAAGTTTCACCTGACTTTAAAACTACTTGCTTACAAAATCAGACATAAAAATACAAAAGAGTCACAGCCCCACTATTACTGAAAAATTGCCAACTTTCTACCATTTCTACCATATAATTATAAATCAATTGGAATATAAATATTGTACTTACATTTCAGTGTACAGAAATACAGAGCAGTATAAACAAGTCATTGTCTGTATGAAATTAAATGTCACCTGTTGTAAAACTAGGCAAATATCTAGATGAGTTGATGTGCCCCCTGGAAGACCTCTGCGGATGCCAGGTTGAGAACCACTGGGGTATGGGTTGGTGGCATGTGTGTGTGTGTTTATGTCTTTAAAAGTAAAATAACTAGTGTCATGTAAAACCTGGACATTTTCCCCGATTCCCTCCCCCTTAAGGACAGGGTGAGCCCCTGCATACACTTAGTGATGTTTACTATGCACCTGTCATAAATATAAAGGGAAGGGTAAACCCCTTTAAAATCCCTCCTGGCCAGAGGAAAAATCCTCTCACCTGTAAAGGGTTAAGAAGCTAGGATAACCTCGCTGGCACCTGACCAAAATGACCAATGAGGAGACAAGATACTTTCAAAAGCTGGGGGGAGGGAAAAACAAAGGGTCTGTCTGTGTGATGCTTTTGCCGGAGACAGAACAGGAATGGAGTCTTAGAACTTAGTAAGTCATCTAGCTAGATATGCGTTAGATTCTGATTTCTTTAAATGGCGGAGAAATTAAGCTGTGCTGAATAG